ATTAATTAATTAATTCTTTCTTCTTCCAAAAACTATATTCTTTTTGGACATATCTATAAATTTATATAAAGGAGAGTAAATTTATACAGAAGAGTTTTTTTTATAATTTTAGTGGGGTCAATTTCAAAATTTTATGAGTATAAATGCAAAAAATATAAATTTAAATGTGTAAAATGCAATAACAAAAAATCGACCCCGCTGAACCCACAATACATCAATACTTGATTGTTTCTTGAGCCAATTTTTATTAACATAATGACACCGAGCCTTTAGCGCAGCCCGTGCTACAGAATCAGCTGCTTTAGTTTTGGTACCAACAATTAATAATTGTTTTTCCTTACTTGCTACATCAAAAACCAAATCACAAGCTTCTAATACAAAAACGAGGAGTCCTAGTAAGATTTGTAATATGAATACCTTTACGCTTGGTCGAGATATAAGGTGCCATTCTAGGATTCCATTTTCTAGTACCATGGCCAAAATGAACTCCCAAATGAACTCCATCATCTCTTCCAAATTGATGTTCCAATATCTTCTTGTCATTTTTAGAGGAGTTTTTTTATAATTTCAGTGGGGGCAATTTGAAATTTTTTTAAGTATAAATGCAAGAAATACAAATTTAAAGGTGTAAAATGCAATAACAAAAAATTATATTGTTTTCAAGGACGGATGAAAAAATTCATATGGGGGGACAAATTTATGTAGAAGAGTTTTTTCATAATTTTTGGAAAGTATTTCAAAATTTTATGAATATAAATGCAAAAAAATACAAATTTAAAGATGTAAAATGCAATAACAAAAAATCGCCCCCACTGAACTCACAATACATCAATACCTAATTGTTTCGCTTCTTATTTTTGGAATGTTAAAATTTATGTTTTATTTAAAAAGTCAACAACATTTTAAAAATATGTATTTTTAATTTTTGAGAATTTGATCGAATCAACAATATGAGTGTTAGTGCTACCAATTTAGGTCTATGAAAGTTGACAAATAACGGCAGCGAGTTCCATGAATTCATGAATATTTGTCACACTACAAGTCACGTAAAGTGAGAGCGACAGCGAATTCGAGAGCGGGAGTATAAGAGTGGCAGAATTAAGTCATAAATAGTGAGAACATGAGTGAGAGCACGTGCAGAGCATGAGAGCGAGAACGCACTAAAAATGTAAGAGCGATACCTGTTGAAAAAGAATTGTACTCCCTCCGTCTCATAAAAAATGTCATGTTTGGGGAACCGTAATTCACACATGACATTTTTTGTGGGACAGATGGAGTATGACTTAGGTCATATCATGAGTCACGGTTCCCTAAACATGATATTTTTTTATGGGACGGAGAGAGTATGACTTAGGTCATACCATATTGAAAATTGTGAGCCACGATTCTCCAAATATGACATTTTTTGTGGGGCGAAAGGAGTATGACTTAGGTCATACCACATTGAAGATTGAAAGACACGATGTTACCTATGAACGGTTCCTCCTAACAATCAAAAGCGAAAACCGTTCAGATAAAGGTACATGACACCAAAAGACCACGTCGAGGGCAGAAAATATTCAATGAGGTGAGGATCCACAGAAGGAATATAGTGCCACATGGTAAACATCAGATCATCCATATTGCAGTGTTAAAGGAAGGTTTAAACGAAGGTCTAGTGGATTAAATCATGGGTGGTTACTAAGAGATGATGGACAACGTGTATATACTCTGTTGTATAAACAAAAGAAGTTTGATCTATGCATAACTCAGAGTTCAAGAGGGAGAAAGATTCATACACACGATGGTGAACTACTTACATGATGGGACACTTGGCACAACAAAGTCTTGCCAGGTGGAAGTTTCCAATTGCTGCCGAAACTGCATCTCCAACCTCTATTAGAGAGCACTATAAATAAGACACTTGGGTCTAAAGTAGAAATTCTATTGGCATGTTTGAAAATTCAGTTAAAAAATTATTTATTTATAGGGAATTGTATTTAATAATTCCCTAAAAACAGTGTTTGATTTCAGAATTCTTAAAAATCATTTTTTGAAATATATATATATATATATTCTGGAAGCAGTCTCAATTATTTCACCATAACTAGTTTTATCGACTTTGTACATTATCATATATGGTGTGATTAGGGATTCGATTGGGACATAGTTATTTTTTAAGATTTCGGTTAAGTCTCGTGTGATTCCAATCCAACTGAGCAGTGAAAGCTCAATCAATTCGTAAAAATGTTATATAGAAGCTTAAAAGAAATTATTTTAATTTTTTTTTATAATAAAATAAAGAACAAATTTCACTTACCACTTCTAAAATTTATCAATATTATATATAGATATCTTTACATTTTATAATTTCACTAATCTCTATTAAAATTGTGGTTTATATGTTAACCTCGTAGAGGTAAGTGAAATTATAAAATGTAGAAGTGACCTATGAGATATTGACAAATCTCATAATAGATAAGTGAAATTTACTCTATAAAAATAAAATTAAAAAACAAATGAAATTCATGCACGTACTAATGCTTTATGCTTGTGGATGTTCACGGTGGATAAAGGAATTTTTTTGCGCAACTAATGATCAAATGTTAGATTAATGTTTAATAATTTAATTAAAATAAAATAAATATGAATTCAATTAAGTTCATTTAATTGAAATATTATTTAAAACAATATTAGTGACGGTTAAAACTCTTAGTAATAAAGACTTCACCTATAGCTTATATTCAAAAAGATCAAATATATATATGTATATCTATAGGTCTCTCAAGCTTGAATAGTAAAAAATAAAAATTAAAAAAGTTACTAAAACCAGCAATCTAAAAAAAACAAAAAGTTGCTGGATCGATATATTTATTAAAAAATAAAAAACAATAAAAATGTACTCCAAGCAATATTTATAATTACATGTTGGCAAAGATGGATTAGATACGCCGCCAACTGAGGTGATATGTTTGTCCAAAAATTGACGGCTGCGATTATTTGAAAGAAAAGACAGATATATTGATGATCATGTCTCCTTGGAAAAGAAATAGTAAAATTTAGAAATCTTGAAAAATGATAACACATCATTTCAATGCTGACATTTTTTTCTTGGGATATGTTAGCATATCACGACCGTTTCATTCGCCGGTACAAAACACCACCCAGGTGTTGCCACGTATACTTTTCATTTTTTTATTCTTCTCTCTTTTAAAAATGCCTTAGTTAAAACCTAATACGTGGTAAATGTTTTCATTATGTTTTTTTAAAACCATGTTCGAAAAAAAAACAAAAAAAAAAAAAAAATACTACATTAGGCCTTGTGATGGAAAAGCCTTGGATTCTCCTTGTGATTATCATACTCAATAATATATATATATATATATATATAGCAAAATGTACAACATATCACACATAATAATACTTTATTTATTTATTTTTTTTGGGAAGGTATAACAATATTTTATTGTTGATCGTGTAAAAGCAATTTGTCATAAATAAATATTTCCTCTCAATGTGGTTCATTTCATTTGTTAAATAAATAATTCAACAAATGAACAACATTTTGAACACGTTAAGTAAACGAATAAAGTTCAAGCAACCAACACACTCAATAATGTGTTCGTCAACAAGTTCAGTAAGTCTCATTGCTCATTTATTAGGGTGAATATCATTTTTTTTTTCCTCATCAGTCTTATCTCAAACTCGATCAAAACATACCTTGACGAGTAATTAAAAATAGTTTAAAATTTTTAAATTTAAGAAAAGACATAATGTAAAAAAATAATAAAATATATATATATTCAAATGACCGTCCCAATTTATTTGGAATATAGACAACGATGATGACGATGAATCTTGTCTCAAACTCAAGAACCAACTAAAGCTTGGATTCCAGTATATTGCATCCTACAGTCAGCATTTCGGCTAAAAAAGCTTTTTATTTTGACCCAATCGTATAATCTCTCCATCATCAAATAGGAAGGGAGGAGTTCGAACTGGGTGTGGGCAAAAAAAAGTATGCATGTTTGTTTAGTTTTAATACCGGTATTGAGGAGGACTGTTTGGTAATTGATGAGGTAAATGGTCAACAGGATGCCAAGTGGACTCACTCCACATTGTGATCTTCTCTTGTCCTTCAACCTTAAGATGCTAGTTGCAGACCCTTGTTGGAACACCATGGTTGATGATCTGAAAGAAGTCGTATTCTTCGCAAGCTCGTGACATTTTATTGACTAAGAGTGGTGGTCCTTGCTCACTTTCACTACCATCCTCATTCACGTCGATGATCGGAATCAAGTCCAGACGTGTCACGGTGGAGAGGAGTGGCCTTTTGTCCTCCGGGAGGACGCAGTTGGATGAAAGGGAGAGAGGAGTGGCGTCATTAGCCAACTGAAAGAATGTGGTCGCCATGGAAACAACGAAGTTAAGGGAGAGCTCTGGATGGGAAAGAAAAAAGGCTCGAGGAGATTTAATTCTTGTTTGACAAACTATACTAGAGTGGTAAGAATAGTGATAAATAGATTTGAACAAACCAATCTAAACTAAAATGACAACTATGACCTCGTCGGCTAAACAAGCTTGAATATGAAAACACAAAAATAATATAGTATTATCAGATGGTTTTTATGCGAGTGAAAAATGACATCATCCCGGCTCAAATAAATGCAGTCAGATCAAAACACACATCATCAAGATGATATACAGAGAGATACACAGGAGAAGCCTTATTGGTCCTTCATATTGATGATGGAGAAACAACTGCAAAACTCTAAAACACTACATGAAACCTAAAGCACAACCAGATTTCTGAAATTGTCATTCAACCTCAGTAAAGCTCTGTATATGTATTCTTTAATCACTTATTTAAAGTCCCCATTCAAGTTCCTCTATAGCTCTTCATAAAACATCATTCAAGAATGGGGCTTTAAATAACCATCATACCACCATCCAGCTACTTTAACCGATCACAGTAGACTCAAGAACTGTTCAAGTTCACTTCTACGAAGAACAAAAAAAAGGAAAAAAATAAAATACGAAAATATGATTACCTGTGAGATTTTTCAGGTACACATGCAAAAAACTGCAATGTAACTGCACACACACGATATATAATTATACAAGGTAAAAAACTGCATTGTTGTTTTGTTGCTGCTATCAAGAGTAAGTAGGGATCAGCACGCGCTGTGATGAAGACGGCAGAGACAGGGAGGGGATAAACGAATGAGTTCTATAAGGGTAAGAGAAACAGAAATGAAAAGGCTTCGATAAAAATCAAATTTTAACAGAACAGTATCTTTGGACTAAAATCGAAATGATAAACACTAAAATGTCTTTCCTTTGTTCTTTCCCACGCGTGTTCTGAGAGAAAGTGAAGCCCACAGTCTACCTCATGCATATATTAGAAGATAATTGCCGCCATCTGCTCTACAGATACAACATACAGTCTCTTATTGAGCTGCTGTTTGTCTTTCATTAGTATCTTCATGCTCAACCTAACAATAAAAAATTTAATTGAGATATTAGCATAGAGATGTAATTGTGAAACCAGACAATGGTAGAAATTAAGACAGAAACGAATGAACTTGCATTGCCAATTCAAATAGAAACGAAGGAAAATGCATAGCACATCACTTGAAGTAACATATAATGTGTTTATTTTTACCTCAACAAGAACCCTTGCTCTCTTATTCAATTTGGCACCTGCGTCATCTTTCTCGAGCTTTCTTAGAGCTAAAGCAGAATCTCTTCTCACTCTCTTCTGGTGAATTGTTACTGTCTCTTCGTCATCTACATCCATTCCAATTGCAATATTAGTTTTCAACACTAGAAGGCAAATTTCTTATTTATTAAATTTTCTAACAAAAACACAAAGGACATTTTAACCATGTATAGTAAGCAAGTGATTCATAACGGTAAAATATAAAAGAAATATTTACGAATTCCCTCGTTCAATTTACATTTTGTATCACCAGTTCTGCTAAAGCCCGCAACCCATTGTAAAATTCTGATGACCAATAAATATATGTTCAACTAATAGACATAAGAGATTGTATGAGTCAACAGATTGATGTATGCATGTGCATACAAACATGAACTTGACCATTATCATCATCTGCTTTAGAAGATATCATCAGAGTATTTGCATGAAATTACATGATACAAAGTATCTTGTAAGCACTTACCATTATCATCATCAGCGGGCGACTCATCAATCGCAAGACCTCCAAAATCTTCCATATCATCTTCCTCTTCAAGTTCTTCATAGCCTTCAACATATTCTATCTCAGGCTCCTGGTTTCCAATAAAAAACAGTAAAACTGATCATTTTCCATATTTTCCAACTCTGACAATAATATGTCAAAAGAAGTAACAATGATTTCCTATAACGATACCTCCTCATCTTCGTCTTCACTGGCAGCCTCAAGTCCTTCCATGTCAAGAACTTTATTGTATTCTTCTACAGGGTAATTATATATGTCACCATAAACTCCCTTCTTAAGGCGTTCAAGCAATTCCTTTTCAATACTCTGGCAAAATATCAAGCGTGTCAGTGAGGCTATGGAGAATATAGATGCTTTGCACAACAGCATTAGGCAAGAATATGACCTTATCCAAAACTGCTGCTTTTTCAGCTTTTTCCTCTCTCCTGGCCTCTCTTTTTTTCTCTTTCCTAGGCGTTGTCATTATCTTTTCCCTGTGAGACAACAAAAAAAATGGTCGATACAACACATTAAAGGTGGAAAGGAAAATTGTTCAGCATAAAGATTGTAACTACACTACATGCCTCTGAACACAAGCAATATGATGACTTGTGTGAACAAAGTACTGCTTGGTTAGGTAGGGCATCAGCTATATTTACCGTGAATATAAACTGTCAAAGTTAATACAATGATATTCTAATGCAAGTCATCACAAGTGTCAACAATTTCTAGGCATAAACAATGATCCACATCTTCCAGATTTCATTCATGAAGGAAAAGTTCAGAGCAGAGAAGATGTGCTCAGGATATTTATTGGTTTGAGGCATCTCATAAAAATATGAAATATAAGAGCAGAGTACCACTCTGTCAAGCAGGAACTACCTTAGCAATGTATGTTTGCTATGGAACCAACCACTTTCTCTAGCAGACAAGGTTTCATTACTAGGAAAAGCAATATACAACTAGTTTCTATCATCTTGTTTCACAAGACGCCAGTAGATACCCCTCAAATATAAATATTCAGTTAATGTTCATGTAGCAAATAAAGAATTCATGCCAAGGCCTTAGCCCAAGTGGTATCTCCTCCTTCCAAATGAAAGGTTGAGGGTTTGAGTCCCCGGTGGGGGACAAACGGGTGCATGTGAGACTTACCAACCAAAAAATAAAAAAGAGAAAGAATTCATCATAACACACAAAAAGCAAGTAAGAAGCTGCAGACACACATTTCTTGTCAATGTACCGCTAACAATGGTGTAAAAACAATTATCTAACAACCTCTAAACATGATTGTCTACCCTGAAGATGGTGGAAGAAAAGGGAATAAATGAGAGAAAATATGTCCGTACCTTGTTTTCAGAGCAAGTTTCCTCATGCGTATCCGCATCTGTGTCATTTTTGTCAATCGTTGTTTTATTTTGTGTACAAGTAACTTAGGCCAGTACATCTGTCAATTCAAAAGAGGGAAAAACACTAAGAAGTTAAACATCCTTAACACAAGGAACAATATGAATCAATTGAAACAGTATCAGACTGCTAAAACACGCTAGATTTCAATACCAAATGTTCATCAATCTTTTCAAAGGCCTTCTCATAATTTCTCGGCAATATAACTCTTTCCCACAAATTGTTTGGCATATGAGCCCTTTCTATAGTTTTCATATATAAATAGAAGAATCCTGCAGATAATAAGAATATCAAATGATTAGATATGATGAATAGAAAAAAAATGTTACATAAAATGCTGAACACAACATATACATAAATCATTAACTGGAGTGATGGCCAGCGTAAGATCCATCAAAATAACCAACAACTAAACTGTTACTATATTTTCCCCCAAAAAGTCCTTTCCACGCTATCGTGCAAAAGGGAACCCTTGCTCTTTATGGACTCAAATCCTTGACAAATTCACTAGTACAGTCAATAAAACTTTTGTTTTCCTTTGAAAAAAATTATAACACCCCTGTGCAACTGTGCAAGGCTGAAAGGCAACCTGTTAAGGCAGTACAGGAAACCCAATACTAGAGGATATGGTACAGCAGTCTCAAACCTAAGCTTCTTCTTGCCAAATTGGTGGGGTGGAGTAATACTCCAATCCTTTTCAATATAAAATAGCAAAAAAATGGTCTATATCAATTTAAAACTGAAAATTTTGAGCCACAAAAGTATATCTTGAAAAATCTTGCACAGAGACTGATTAAAAAGTTGTAAAGCCTAGACAAAGACCAAATCTTCTTTTACCATACAAAAATGACTATCAAGACGAAACAACCTCCCTTTAATTACAATTTAAAAATGATTATATAAAAGCTTGTTCAACTTTTGTTTGATCCAGAGAGAAGAGTAGAAGACAAATAAAAATTACACTGCTAACGTAATTTCCGTTTCCGTCATTTCTAAATCTTCCCCCTAGGAACACCTGAGTGTGATTGATGGTGGAAACAGAAGAGAGAAGAAAGGCAAAATAGACTAGATTCTTTATTTAGACAGTGAAAAGTCGCTCCCATTGAGATAGATGAGAACTCAAGAAAATCTACCCAATCTCACTATATCTTGCTCCTCTTATATAACCATGTCAGTAGGAAACTTCAAAAGGGCTTCCCAATGTGAGAATTAGTAGTTATTATAACCTCTAAACAAGAACTAATTTTGTGCTGGTAAATAAATTGCTTTCTCGTGAGCTAGAAAGGACCAAGTTAGTCTAATGGGTAGTGGTGGCCTTGCATGGAGAAATTAGTTTGGCATGCTGAGGGACAAATTCTTTGGTAGTTATGGTTGAAAAATAAAAATTAAATAAATAAACTGCTAAATTGGTTAAAATCGAACTGTAACTTCTTTTTTTTTTTTGACAAGTTAAATAGAACTGAACTTCTTGGGAAGTATAAAGGATAGCATGAGCATTCAGCAAATTGCTTGGAAGGAGTATAATCAACCAAAGCACTTACAAACCCTAAAAAGATGGCCACTTAAAATTCTGCAGGTGTAAGTTAATGTCTAGTCTTAAATATGCATGGACTCTTCAAAAGTAGGGAGTCTAGGAGAAGTACCTGTGTCGGACAAAAATTACACGGACAAGGGTACAGTATATGTGTCCGACACTTTTGGTTGGATATATGTCATAAAATCCAATTTCATTTTATTATTGTTTTAAAATGAGTGAAACGCCTATATCGGACACTACCTTATATAAAGACATTATTTTTTCCTAGAAAACAAATGATTATATTGCAGTGTCCTTTTGTTTTCGAATTTGACACGTCCGATGCTTGGATATATACCCACCCCCTACACATGTAACATAAGTTTGGATAAATTGCTGAACAAATCAACCAATTTTGAAAATGACCTACAAACCTCACAGTTTTTGTAACCTGCAATGTATGCCACAAAATGGTCTATTACATGTTAGGAATGTATTTTCAATGTATCTCTAACTTATCCTTAGTGTAGCCTAGTCTAAACCTAACTTATCCTTGGCCTAGCCTAACTTTAGTCAACATGTGTCCCACATGCAACCACTTACATTCCATGTACAACTGATCCTGCACAATGTAGTCCTGTCACAAACAATGTACTTAATGTATCCTCGTGCATATGCAATGAACATAGTTGTAATTTTCTTTTTGTTTGTCCAACTGAATTTGCAGTGTAATGTACTTTATCAGTCTCTAATACAAAGGTTATTGCCTACATCCCAACGGTCCCCTAATCATCGAAACTACTGCAGTCATTACAAGGATAATGTTTGCTTACTCAGAACACCCTTTGAGCCCAGGTGAACTTTGGCCACACAAAGACCAAGCCTTCAAATAATTTTTTATTGTTGTTTTACGTCTAACTGATATTACTAATCTTCATATGGTTCTCTGAATGATCATGAAAGGAAAACGCAGAGAGATTGATAGAAAGAGAGCATATCATTATTTAGGAATGAACAATACATCAAAGTTAATGACGAATTCCATGACTATTTATTATCTATAATATATTGGCTAGTGCATTAACACATGCATGATTCATGGGAATCTATCTCTCTTTATGTCTTGAAAATGCAAGTGAGAAGTCAAGGGCTTGTGAAGACAACAATTTATGGACACTATTCATGCAAAATAAACTCTTCCTCACCAACTGCGCACTTTCTTCTCTGTAACTACCAATTTCAAGAAATTAACAAAGAGACCATAGCCAAGTGCCAATCTCTCAAGTAACAATCTGGGAACAACAACAACGAAGTCTAACAACAAAGAAGATTTATTGAAGTTCTAATCTTCTAATCAGCAAAAGAGTCTAAATCGTCACCATTTCTCACAGAATACAATGAACAAGCAAAAGAGAAGAGAAACTAATACCCTTTTCATCCTCTTGAATTGTTGCGTAACGACTGTTGGCGAGAGGGCAAGAGCTCCGATTACAAAGACCGGTAACATTATACGGGTTCCGGCAGAAATTCCCCGTCGTGATTCTAATATTAACACAGAAACCAATCAATCCAAACCACACCACCCACAATGGACACGAAATGACCCATCAAAATGAATCGAATTGAAATCAAAACAAAGCATTAAAATGTTCAGATTATTCGAGAATGAATCAAATAGAAAGCAAAAGAAAGCGTGAATTGAATTGAGATTACTGGAACTTACTTGGTCATGAAACTGCAGTGGTTGTGTCTGATGACCTGCCATATAACCTCATCGTGTTGCATCTTCAAATTATGCTTCTTACTTTGGTTATCGGTTTATGGATTGAAATGGGGTCGGACGTTTTAACTTTTAGGGCTTATTGTTTGGGGATTTAGAGTTTATGGGCACTTGATGGTAAGAGAGGCTCAGAGCGATGACGAACTGCGACGAAGGTTTTAGGTTTAGGATCGCAGTCACTATGGTGTCGATTTATTAATTTATTTTCTTTTTCCCCGACAAATTAACTAGCACGTGCACTTGGACAACGTAAATTGATTGATTTTAATCCAACAAGTAAATTTGGTTAAATCGGTGTAATTTATAGTTTAAAGGTTGTAAAAATTTGGACAAATTCACATTAAATCATAAATTTATGCAATTATGCATAAATCACCTTTTCTAACCTTAATTCCATTTACACATGTGAAACATATTACTAAAAAGACATTGGTGCTACACAACATGCGTAAATTTTTTTTTAGTTTTACACATTTGTTTTTCGCGGTGAGTTATGATGAGAACGAATCACCTTAAAGGTCAAGTCAAAGAGTACCTTAAAGGTGTCATCCTAATAAAGTAGAAGCGTTTTGAAAAATTGTAAATATAAAAATATATAAAATAGATAATATTTACACGAGTTGATTTATAAAAAAAAATTATTTAAATGTTAATTTATCCTCTAAGTACAAACCAAAATTAATTTATACTGAATTGATCAAAATGGTTCTTAAATATGGTTTAATTGGATCCATTTGTGAGGTTCTATTTCAATTTTCAATGAAACTTTTGAATCAATTTCATGTGCATCAACCAATTTGATAACCAATTTGATATCCTGCCGGTATACCAAACTAAATTGACTACTATAAAAAGAAAAATGAAAAATGTTTCAATTCAAAATATGTATCATTGTATAACGACCCGAACTCGAGAGTCCGAATTACTAACCGGGTCTTTACCCAAACCCGAGATCAACTAGGGACTGTGCAGTCATTCCCAAAGTTAAGATGTAATTAGTACACCCCACAGATCCTTCTACTACGCAGTGGTGGAATGACCCAAATCATAAAGGTCCAATGCATGGGTATTAGAAAACCCTTAAAAGATTGTTATGAAATGAAAGGAAGAAAGAGAAAATACCGACTAGACTACCCCTGTGTGGAAGTCAACTAACCCCTAGTAGACTACGCCTGTATGATAGTCAACTAACCCCCAGTAAACTACGCCTGTATAGTAGTCAACTAACCCACAAAGAATACCCGATGGGAAAGAAATAATCACCTGACAACATTAATAATATACATCCCATGTCATCCTCATCAATGAAATTAACCAAAATAACCCATAGTCATCCCATTCATCCCAATATACCAACATAATTATAACATGCTTCCATGGCCACACAAAAAATACATCAAATTGCTGTCTAAAATACGAGTACATTGTCAAGTTACAACAATAAAACAATTACATAGGTTTTCTGAAAACTTTACAAAAGAGATATCATAATACAAATTGGCCAATAATAGATCTTTTCTAGTCCCGTTCATGCCCGTGGAAGATCAACATCTACCAACTCAACCCCGTGACCTGAAAAATGTAAAGAAGTAAACACAACGACTCAGTAGAGATTGCCTAAATGGCATCTCCTCAAACAAAGTAAATAACCACATGTCTTCCAGACAATGAATAGGGAAAAGAGTTAGGGATCATGCGAGAGATTCACAAACAACACTTCCACTTTTCCGAATAACCATCATATCATTCAATGCAAAATAATGCATAAAATGCCCAATGCACACCCACGTCACACCACACCCTCGTGTATCTACACATCACATCCACGCTTTCGTGTACCCACACATCACATCCCTCAACCCACACAATTCTCCTCCGCTTATAAACCCACTATGACATGCGTATAGAATGCTTCAATTTCATTTGTTCAATAATCAACATACTTTCATAACATAATTAACATTTTTAACATGCTATAACATTTAAGGATCATCTAGCACATGTCTAACCAAAAACATCACAACAACCATGAGTAAAAAAAATGAATAAATCATCACATAGCAACTGAATAGCATGCCACTTGCAATTTATACACAAGATAAACATTTAATCACGTAAATCATCTCAATTCAGCAATTCAAGTGCAAGCCAAAACCCTAAAATTTAATCATACATTTTAGGCATCAATTGACATGTTAAAGAGGGGCAAAAACATCTAATTAATTACTAAATTCAAGGAAATTGACAGTTAGACAATTCTACCTCAATTTGAAGCAAAAGCCTCAATTTTTGAAATCCACCAAAGTCACCCAATTCCAACTTTGCTCTAATCAATTTGTAGATCTCGTTGAGCTCGTGAACTTTGTCTTCAATGGCAAAGTCAAATTTCCAATGAAATTGTGTAAATCTAGCTTTGAAATGGATAAAAAAAATATATACATATATAAAGCTTAGAGAGAGAAACTGCCGCAGCTAGAAAGAATGGTCTGGTTGGTGACCTTTTGGTCACCTAAAATGACTATGTCAATTGTCAGTCCCACGTGGTTAAATAAAAATCTTTTTAACATTTACATATATATATATATATATATATATATATATATATACACACACACACACACACACACACACACACACACATATATATACATACACTAACCACATTACAACCAATCATTTAACACATAGCCATATAAAATACCTTAAATAATAATGGATGACATGTAACAGCTCCGAAAAATAATTCTCGTACACAACAATACTCGTTGCGGGTCCCGCCTGACCCGAAAATTGAAAAATACCAAAATAACAACCAATACATTTCGAAGAGTTCTGAACTCAAGGAAATGTCCCTACTAACTCCCGGACCCATCCGGCACACCCACGGTGTCCGGCACGCAAAATGAGACAAGACGAAAACACCCCCGAAAAATCAAAAAAATCCTAAAAAAATGGTAAAAATCGGAAACATTACATTCTCCCCAACTTCAAAAGATTTCATCCCCGAAATCAACCCGCCTTACAAGCGAAGGACGAAAGGATGCAAAAAGTTCTCCACGCAACACACTAGACTAAAAATCTCAACACAAAAAATCCTACGTCCCATGTCACTCGCAATCCTATGTTTGTGACCCAACGCAACCTCGACCAAACAGTAACCATAACCACACATAATCTCATCCCCCACAACAACTAACTGAACGAAAAAGGCACCGTAGTGCCTAACAAAACTCTCTACCATCACCTACAAGCACACGAGGCACAAGCCCCCAACCAAAATCCATGACCTCACCGAAGCCTAACCACAGAGAACCATTAGGATTGTCATCCTTCTAACTAGAACATACCACTAGTTAATACTAAACCCGCAACGACAACCTCAGTCAACCCACACGAATACAAGCATCATGAAAAGAACCTTTCAATCCAAGTCACCACAATACTGAACCATCCACTCTCGCACATGAGATCAAGGGAAAACACTCAACCCTAGTCAAAACCAATCCGACATATAAAATTGCACTAACGCGGTTCACACGAGACATTTCACCAGAAAACTGTTAAATCCTATACACGGTAGGTCCAACCAGCAGCGCCTCACACATAATCCACGCTAAACGCCCTAAGGTCCACAAAACAGTAGTTACAAAACCTCTCAACGAACCAATATGCGAGCTCAACTCAAGATCCCAAAGAAACTCTGAAAACCATCTCTGATGACAACTGCCTTCAATAGCTATATAATAGCTAAACACCTATGACTGAAATCGAGAAAACCATCCAACTTGTCAAATTTACCATCAGGTACGCGGGAAAATAACCTATTAGCATAGCTCAAGGATCAACTGATCCAACAACTGAAACTATTTGGACACGTAGTCCCGTACCGAGTATACCACTATCCACGACAAGTGACCTAAACGCACACAAAGAATACCATCAACTCCAAGTGAGACTCACTCTAAAAATAGGATCGTACTACCACATGTACGCAATGCACAACACCGTACTCCGACTGTCACTAGGCATACTAAAATATATGATTATTGACCTTTGACCCGACATTGTGTTAAGGAAAGACTAACTCAGAAAAATGGTTGGCCAGACCATTCCCGTCGTCGATCCGACCTCAACACCAACATCGTTCTTGTCTTCAGGTCTAATCCTCAAGTATACGTACATACAAATCTCTAATCACAACACACAGTCTAACCATCCTCACTACATAAGTCGCATCACGATTGCTAGATACCACTGCTAGCCCGAAGACCCTAAGAAAACGTACACCGGTAAACAAGTCGCATCTCATGCCGTATCGATCACAACCACTCGGAACGAATCCTACAAAACCAGGGATTTCACCTCCTACCGTGGAGGTAAGTTGAACGATCTAGATCAAACCCTCACTTAGAATTCTTAACAAATAGAGAACTCTAAAAAGTTCTTTCGCCCATTGACACGCACAACTCCTATGTGGAGATACAAACTCACAGACAACAAAGTCCTTGCCAGGACCAAACCAAGAAGAAGGAAAATCAAGTCCCTCCACCGCAACAGAATTGAACACGCGCCTATCGATACTTTGCATACGATATGCCAAGAAGAAGGAACTAAACAGAGACGAAACAACTCGATCTGCAACTCTTGCACCTAACACCCATACGTAATAGAGAACAGTGCCCCTTCCCAAAACACTAGGGCTAGACAACTGTGATGTTTCTAATTTTTACCATTTTTCATTTTTCTGGAAATTTTGTCATTGCAAGGGTATTTTCGTCTTTTGCCCTTTTTTTGTACCAGACACTATGGAGTGTGCCTGTTGTGTCCGACAGTTGTCTGGGGCATTTCATTGAGTTCAGAACTCTTTAAAATGCGAGGGTGATCATTTTGGTTTTTTTTTCAGTTTTTCGGACCGGACAGACCCGTGTGGGGCCCGTTACCGGAACTGTTGCTTACGGAGATTTTAGTTGGGTCCATTTGCATCATATTTATTTATTTATTTATTGTGTTTTAGGTGATTGTAAATTAAATGTGTATGCATATATGTATGTGGTGCAAAATAAGAATAAAAGAAAAAGGAAAAATGAAAAGAAATTGGTGGGACCCACCACCATTTTTAAGTGGTCATAAGACCACACCCTTGCTCCTAATTCTCTCTATCTCTCCCGCATGTTTCTCTCTCTCCCTC